AAGGTTTGAGTACGCGACCCAACTTGCCCTCGTAACTTTTTCATTGGGCATTCGAATTGGGTTCTAATTTCTTCCCTGACATGCCCCGCCCGTACTCTCCCTTAAAAATCACTCGTTCGTATGCCTGCGGGGCGCACTTCCCACTTTCCCCAGACGACCCCACAACACAATCCTACCACATTTTTCTTAATACCTTCGACACCTAACAGTAAACCCCCCCCCACTCCCTAGAAAGCATATTTGATCACGCCATCGAGGATTTTCGATCCTCAATACTTGATATTTCCTTGCATGCGTGCTATCACGGAAATCAACTTTGTTCTATCAAGTCCACTGCTGAATCCCCGTTGGAAGTGCACAAATATTCTGCCTAAAATGAAAAGAAATTCCGCATTTCGGCCGCCACAAGCGACAACTTTCACCGCTGCCCCACGAGGTGAGTCTCACAGCAGCTTATAGGGAGGCAAACTAGTGCTGCATTTACCTCATTCTGCCCTCTCACAACCAGCCTGATGACAAGACCACATTAAAACAACCGGGGGAGGGCTTCGACACACTGGCTAACAAAGTCCAACAACTCAGGTGTGCACGTCACGCACGACCTTACCCCCAACTTCACATCTACCATCAGAGGATCTCTGAGCTCACGCAAGTGCCATAAAGTCCGCAGTAAGGAGGAGCCACTGCCGTCTGGTCCGTAGTTATTGGAACTTAGTTGTCACGCTCTAAGCATATTTATTTCTGTACAAGAAATGATAGCCATTGCTACTGCAGTTACCGAACACGTGAAGACCTAACACTCCCTTCCTGTTAGGAGAAGCGGGTTGCACGGAAAGCCGCCAAGTTCACCCTGTTCCCGGACGACTAGGGGTGTCATCCCTTTCAGTCGATTGGCCGTTGGGTCATCTAACGGAGAGTGAACGTTCTAGGCTGCCAAGGTGAGCAGGTCACCATGACAGCCTGTAGGGGACAGTGGGGTCACGGGGATGGGAATGCAGTTTGTTGTAGCTTTTCAATCATATACTTGCGCTCACAAGCCACGTTTAGCTTGCCAGTGGAGGGTTTTACTGACTTCCTTTTTAAGACACCATTTCTAGCTGCGCGAACGGAAACAGTGCTCCTTTAGGTAAACCTACCACGGAGCTCTGGGGTGCGGGCAGACTTTGTTACGTTGAGTCGGGTGGTCTGGGTGGCCTGCGGTATAGCATGCCACCTACACTACAGGACTTTTGTGTTGGAGAGGGGAAGTGGGACGGGGGAGGGGAATGCCGCATAGGGCCCGTCAATCGAAGCGATAACTGGGGTGTGGCAGCCGCAGTGAGCACAACCTCATTGAGCTGCAGGTGAGAGCGATGTGTCAGAGCAGGGCAAAGCAGAAGTACCTGCTCTAAGTGACCTAGCAGGAGTCATCTATGACACATCTCCGTGTGGAATTACTTGTTAGCGTATCTAGGGGGCGGCGGGGAGGTATATCTACAGGGTCGGGTAGTAGCCAATCAATTGCCCCGACTATCAGGGAGTGACCGTAGAGCTGCGGCGTCACAATACACAGTACACATCCAGGGTGATCTCTCCTCCCAACTTGTCATAGACCTGGCGGTTTACATTTCTTTCGCGAAAGGGAATAATTGCATTGGCTTTGAAGTCCTGCTGGACGTGTACGCGTCTTTCCATCTCGCTAAACATCAAGATTAGTGTGTTACAAAATTGAGGAACCGCATATTTTGACTTATGCTAGAATGCATTCGGTGCCCCTAGCTTTTCATCAGATATTTGTCGTACTGCCTCGATCGCCGACAGCAGAGATGGTGGACGCTGACAATTAGTTTTGTTAGGAGGGGGTGGCAGATTTGCTTAATTCCATTGACCCAATCGTGAAAAATTTGCAGCCTCGGTGGGGGTAGAACTCACACGGCAGGGAGGGCTGGGATTAAATTTACGGCGCACGGAGAGTCTCGTAGCTCAATGGTACAGCGTTGGCTGCGCAAAAGCCTCCCCCTGCTGTGTGGGTTCGACTCCTACCGAGGCCGAGAATTTTTCACATTTCAATCAACTGAAATTATGATTTTTTCACCTGATGTAGTCTGTTAGTGGCTTCTCGGGGACCCCAGGCAGGTAATCGAGGGAGTCCCTGAAGTGCTTAGCGCAGCGTTCCACAGACTGTACAACCGTATGATAGGGCGCCTTCCGGACGAATTATTAGCCTTGGAAGCCGTCAATTGGGGGTGAGAAAGTGCTTAACTCTAGCCCAAGATTACCTTAGCTTCCGGATTTCTATAGTGCTGGTGGATGTCTACAGTATGGGTGGTCTAGAATCTACAGAAACCAGTTTAAAGGAAAGATCTAAGGCTAGCATGGGCGTTCTTCATTGGTGCACAACTGTGAGCTGAACGTTACAACGGAAAACAAGTGCAGCGCAGTGTGGGAAACATTGCCGCTGGTTGCTGAAACTTTGGATCGATCTCCGGCAAGAAGACAGTAGGGCCGCGCTGACTAGAAACAGATCAGAAGTGCAAATAACACAAAGTAACTGTCGACGTAAATAGCTTCACATGTACAACAATGAGAGGTGGGTGAGTCTCGGGCTTTCCACTCAAGACACGGCAACGGAGTCTTAATAAAAGACTGGCATATTATTGGTCGCACTATTGTACTGTACCAGTTACTTGTGAGCAGTAAAGCCTTGCGATGGAGTAGGGATGGCTGGAGATAGCTTCAGAGCTCCAAAGCAAAAGAATACGATCATTTTTGTCAGGAAAAAATCAGCGAACTTAAATGCCGCGTGACAACTTGGAATATTTGGGACTACAGCTGACATAGTGGGAGTCCCTGCTTTAAATTTTAATATAGAATTCAATTAGCAATCGTACTTAGGTTTAAACGTCGGACCCTGAGATCCAGGATTCTGATTTTGTTGGCTATCAACAGTAGATAGGTCAAGGCTGCTCACTCCCGCCTCCTATGACTCCACAGGTAGGACTTTTCAGTGCTCTGAGAATTTGAGGACGGTCGAGACTGTCAATTAGAGAACACCTTTTTATGTACTTTGGTCCTGTTGACATGGAAGCAATGGCGGGATGCCTTAACCAATACAGAGCATTTTCCAGCATAAGCATTTTAGATATCATGCGAAATATCCCTAAAAACCAAACAACAATGATATTTAAGCTAATCCTTTTACCCCATACAAATTGGGAGTGCATACTGGGTGCCGAAGTCCTAAAAGCACACACAGGCCGTATTATAGTACACTATTTACTGGTAGTAGTAAGCACGATGACTAGAATTAGCCCTTTAGCATATGCACGTACTTCTAGCAGCAGTATTCTAGACCTCGTAGTCAAAACCTAGTAGAAACGGACACAGTCTGACGGATAAAGTTGAGAAGACGGAAACCAAGGCAAGCACTGATGTGCTTAGGGTCTCAAACGTGTATTTACTCGGAATAGCTTAAACCCATTTCACACTCTTTGTTGAGATCCTGGGGGTATGAGCCCCAGTGTTGGCTTTAATCCGCATCACCTCTGACCAATACTACCGTCAGAAATAGTACCAGTACTACTAACACTCAGCTATATTGCTAACTAGTAGGAGTAGCAGAAATAGTAATAGCCCTATCAGTCTCGGCCTTCTTGAGCCTGTCTTGACACTTACTGAAGGTTCGTGAATGTATGTCGTGCGGTATTACTTGCGCAAAGTCCGCTGTCGCTTAAGACTAAGTTATGTGGTGTTTCCGGCTAGCATTGCAGAAAGTGGCCAACGCTGGCTCCAGTCTAGTCTTCTTGACCCATAGTGGAGGTTAAGGGGGTGGTTGGCAGTAAACACGTCTGCTATCACTTTAAAGCTAACCTCTGTGGCCGGTCACCATCACCGAACCAACCTGTTGGTGCATATGGTGGACTTAATCGAAATCGATGGTCGAAAGATCAGTTGCGAAAACCCGAGAGCAGGACGTGTTTAGTTGCACAGATAAAAAGAGACGATTCAGTCAGCCCACGTACGACAAAAGCCTTGATCTGCAGACATGTCCTCGTTATACAATCTTGATGAAAGACCAGTAAGTGCATACCTTTATCACTGGCATCATCAACGAGCAGTATTTCATGAAGAAGGTTGGGAGGAGTCCGATTGAGCACCGAGTGAACCGTGCGAAGGAGAGTCGACCAGGCCTCATTATGAAATACAATTATTATGCTTGAGTTGAGACCCGAAGCTGCCGCCTCCTTTTCATAGTTCTGTGAAAGACAGCTAGACGTATTCAAGGAAAAAAGAACATGGGCGAATAAGTTCGAGTCAGTTGCACATTAAGGTACTCATTGTGTATGCGAGCTTTTTACAAGTGAAACACAAAACGAGTAACAGTTTAAAATGTGTGGCTTTTGGTCGCAACATCAGGTAAGTTTTGAGCATGTAAGGACATACACGAAGCAGCTAACCTTAGGTGGACACATCGAAGCGGTCAGAAACGCTGGATGGCGATTTTGAGGTTAACTAACAAGGCTATTAACTTGTACACAGGCGGCAGGCCACAAAAATATAGTTCACAAATAGCTGTTTACTCCCAGCTGCCAACGTCCTAGTGTGTCATGTGTTTCCTTCTAATGCAATTTGCGCTTTGTAAGTTGGCCTATCTTTGCTTGCTAGAAGTGGAAGCGTTCTGACAATTTATGACTTCGAAATTAAATACCCTATTCTTTTTGGCCACCCAACAAACGCAACTGACAGGGGGTGTTGCGGAAAGACCACAACTTGTAGCTTAGTTGATATTTACGCTAAGATTCCGTCAATGAGGGTCTGGATGTCGTCGTTTAGAGAACTGCACGCCATTCGCTTGGTTATGAATAATTACCAATGGACAACCCAGTTTTTCTATCGGAAAAATGACCTGGCTTGTGCTATAAGACACCCGTTTTCTGATTTTTGTTTGCATTTAAGGTTCCTCTGAACTTGGTAGAAATGATCTGTAAGGATCTGCTTTATTTAAAGACTCTTTCTATAGTGCAAATTTTAGGCATGCCGTTTGCATCGAGTTTTTGTTTACGAATTCAATTTCTATATTTTCTCATATGTTATTCAGGTTATGCAGCAAGAGGCCACAGCTGAAGAGCACTCGCAAATTTGATTGGTTCCATTAAATTCTGCAGTCTTTGCATGCTTCAGATCTGGCAGTCAGAGAAGGATAAACCATCGTTCACTTGGGTCAGACGTGCCAATGTTGAGCTAAAAGGAATCTATCGAAATGTATCGAAATTCTGCAAAATTATTTACCGTTAGCGACATGCGTTTCACCTATCCTTGTTTTATAGACAATGAAAGAAGCATCTTTTTTGCCCTGTTTTACTGAACAATGATTAATTAAATTAGCATAGGCTCTTTTAAAACCATAAAACTCAGTCAAGGAGTGCAGAAATTCCAACATGTATATAATTTTAGACCAATTATGTTACTTACCTATTTTAATATATCAAATAATGTTAGCACACCGCGATGCGAAATTGGGGAACAATCAAAAAGTTGTCTGATTTCGAAGGTTACTGTAACCGGTCAGTAGTAATCACAAAACCTAATACTTTCTTTTTTTGCCTTTCTCGTTCTTCTGGACGCACAACAACTGACTTCAAAATTGAGAGAATTATGTTAACAGTCTAAAGGGAAGTAACGAGAGCTGACAATTTCAAAAAAAACAAAAAAAACTTAACTGGAAAAAATTGCTATTCGAACCCGAATACTGCACTACACGAAAAGCCATCTAGTTATTACTAAACAATTAAGGACGTTCCTCAATAGAGTGGGGTGCGGTCCATTGGACCGGAAGCTTTAAAGTACTTAGGAGTAGGGACTATGTACACTACAATAGCACCAGATTAAAATTTCCTATCGTAATGTAAGGAATCATGGTTCAGTAACTTCAGGGTTTGGAACGTACCGAGAATTTCGTCGGTCGGATAATGACCGATTGACGCTGATCAGGTCACTCACAACGACATCAAACTGGTGGATTTGAAATTTCGCCTTGGCGTCGGCCATCAGATTGGCAGGCAAGTGAACTGCCCGGCCGTTCTCGCCCAAGCCACCACTTCCGAGACCACCAAACTGTGAAAGGAGATTAGACAGCTGGAGCCAGCTGCCACTTTTGGGCTCGAAAATATTGCTGAAGATGCCACTGCCAGTCCTATTTCCGCCATTAATATTGTTGGATGCGTTACTGCCTAAAATAGATGACAAACGGTTGCAATAAGATAAGAAACGAAAGCAACCGGAAAGTATGGAAAATGTAGCAATATCATTAGTAATTCAGGTTATGGTATATGCTTTTGACTTATAATGCCACACGAATTAAAGGCCTAAAATAACAGATAACGCGCCATCTCGGAGTGAAATAAATATTAAGGGTAGCTTCGTGACATAAAAGCTATTATGAAAACTTTCCTGACCGTTTGTCCATACGTGGGTAAGAACAGAAAGTCACGGGTGGGCGAAGTTTTAAAAGTAGCCCTTATCCATTGGATGATGAGGCTGGGCTGGAGCGTCTTTTATCTTATTGGAATTGTCCGCCAAACAGGCCTCACACCGAACTCTGCAGCGCGAGATGATGACGATAATCCTCCACGCAAGGAATATTCAGGCACATAATACTGATGTGAGGAAGCCAGCGCCAAAAAACACGAACTTTCAGCTGATCGTAGAGTGCATTGTCTACGAGTTTAAATAAGTTTGCACGTAGTTTTTATAGTATGGCTTGTATCAACTATCTCATCTTACGTATTTTGAGCAGAAAGGGTTGCTCCTGTAGTTCCAAATTTCAAACCAAGTATGTTTGGAATTTGTGATCTCGGGAAAACAAAATGCGTTTTAAGTTCTGTTATAAAATTAGATTAATAACTACCCTCTGCAAATTTTGCCTCGGTGCTGACTAAAATGGATACTTGATAAAAAAAGGGGCACAAGTTGCTATGAGTCGGCACAAAGTTAAGAGATGGGTCTTGGAGTTAAGTGCGAAAGTAGCATTCGATTGAAGTTTTTTTAACGTGAAATCATTGCTTGCAGTATAAGTGCCTGTAGGACCAGGGTAGATCGATTTCAAACGGCTATTATAGCCCTGACGTACAACGGATTTAAGATATACATAGATTTCATTGGCTGTTTGAACGTCTACTGTATGAAAACGGTCAGATAAAGTGACTGAAGCCCCGGAAATTTAAATTATAGGCCGAGAGAGCCGGCTTTAGAGGATTTTAAAAATCGAGTAACCATTTTAGAGAAAAAAGCTCGACAAAGACAAGCGGAATAAATCAAGGATTTCAAAAGAGCGCATATGGAAACAAAAGGAGAGTTGCATTCCTCATATGGACTATAAATGCCAGAAATTGACTACTATCTACTATTCAAAACCCAGGCACTTTGGCGGTCCTCAAGCAATAGGGGTGGTCTAAAGAACAATGAACTATGAAGCTTAAGGACTACGAAAGAAGGGCAATTCGAATATTACGCTGCGCCACAAACCAATGCCACCAACGTCCAACTCCAACCAACATATCTGCATCATCAGTTGACTTTCAGCATATGGATTGACCTTGATGGACACCTTTGCATCCACCACAATGACAAAACGACCAAACCACACCCTGAATAAAATATCAGAATCTGTAAAGGAGTTTTTGCAACCGGCACTCATTAAAACATCCGACATCCTCTTACTCGATATTCCAACCGTCACGATAGATTTGTTCATACTAAAGCAAACTCAGTGTATCTACCTCATCTTTTCTCTCTGCATTTACTGCCTTCCGATAATGAGCCAGAACCAGGGCGAGCGAACGTGGGCGTGGTGACTGGAAAAAGGCAAGCGGTGAGCGTCTGCATGTGCCACGCACGACCGGCTCACTAAATCTAAAGACACAAGACTTCATTCGGGGGCTCGGAAGTCACAGAAGACAGAGCACAATAAAGGTCGCATTAAGAAGAGGCCATGGCAGACTGACTCCTGATACTGAACGGAGTCGAGTTTGCCCACCAATTGAGAATATTCTAG